CAATTGTTATAGGTAATTCTGGTTCGAACAAGGGTGACTGCGGCAGACTTTAGTTCTGTCGGAAGCCAAATTTTGGCGAGTCAACAATTAGGTTGGCCGGCCCATAGATTTACCAAAGAAATAACAATTGTTATAGGTAATTCTGGTTCGAACAAGGGTGTCTGCGGCAGACTTTTGTTCTGTCGGAAGCCAAATTTTGGCGAGTCAACAATTAGGTTGGCCGGCCCATAGATTTACCAAATAGGTAACAATTGTTATAGGTAATTCTGGTTCGAACAAGGGTGACTGCGGCAGACTTTAGTTCTGTCGGAAGCCAAATTTTGGCAAGTCAACAATTAGGTTGGCCGGCCCACAGATTTACCAAATAGGTAACAATTGTTATAGGTAATTCTGGTTCAAACAAGGGTGTCTGCGGCAGACTTTAGTTCTGTCGGAAGCCAAATTTTGGCAAGTCAACAATTAGGTTGGCCGGCCCGCAGATTTACTAAAGAATTGACAATTGTTATAGGTAATTCTGGTTCGAACAAGGGTGTCTGCGGCAGACTTTAGTTCTGTCGGAAGCAAATTTTGGCGAGTCAACAATTAGGTTGGCCGGCCCAGAGTGAAGCACAGATTTACCAAAGAGTTGTTCTATCACAAAGGCGACTGCGACAGATTTTTTTCTGTTGGAAACCAAACTATGTTTTGTGAAGCCATGTTAAGTTGGCCGGCCAGGGTGAAACGGAACAACTCGTGTTATTTCTAATTTGATATATATATACACTTTAATAAGTATTTAACAATATATGCATATTTATATATTTTTTTTTCGTGAGATAAAACATAGTAGGTTATACCGTCAAGAATGAGATAATGTCCGTTGAATGTTAAATTCCTCAAACCTACGCCTCTGGCGTTCTTTAGAATTACTTATCCTTCAATTAGAATCTCACAAGTAAATTTGTTACCAAGAGTGTAAGTTTGGGAAAAAATTATTACCTTAATTGTGTTATTGACATTTCTGGTACGAACAAATGTTGACTGCGGCATACTTTTGTTATTGTAGTTTGATGGATAATCACGTGTAAATGAAATTATGTTCATATCAACAAATTTTATGAAATAATAGCAATTACTTATGAAAATTGATAATAAATATTAATTACTCTTATATTTGCGTCAGTATGAATGATTTAATTTAAAATTTCTTGACATTTCAGTAATTACGTAATTAGATTTAGGGTTACGTAAATCTGTCGATGTGTATATCGAATTCTAAATATTAAGTGAAAAAATTTTTTAAGAAATATAAATAATATTAAGTAATAATGTCTAACCAGCCCATCATTAGTCGCTAAAATCATAAAAATAATTGCAATTCAACTAATCGCAATTTTTACCTTTACTGTAAATTTCTGACAATGCAAAATTTTAAGAAATTAAAAAAATAATTAATTACATCCGAATACAAAAATACATTGCCATTAACGGTAACAGTATCTAAATTATTCATGCATAACCCGTTTCCTTTTTTTTTTATTATCGGCTTCGATCCGGAAAAACATTAATTATTTACATTCCCTGCACCAATGTCTGCCGTGCCGTCATTTAAAAAAGCATCTTTTTGATTATCAACTATGATCCGTAAGAACAATGATGATCGCCATCATTTGAAGGTCTAAAAAAGGCATCCATGAACATTTGCCCGAAAATTGGCGTTCATTAGAACCAATTTAAAAAATAGGATCTTTTTTTTTTTTTAGGACTATATACTAGGGACGATGTTTTTCTGAAAAATGCAGAATATCGCAGAATTTGCAGTAACTTTTGAATTCACTTGTTTTTGCAAAAATTAGATATTATTAGATAATTACAGAATTGACCTAAAATTTAACCAAGATCCAAACAAATTGCAGAAATTTGCAAAAAAAAATATTTTGCAGATAATCGCAGAATAGTCACCGCAGAAAATCATCGTCCCTGCTATATACTAATGTATAGTGCTATCCATTTTGTCTATTCACCGGATAACTGCAAATTTCAGATATCTCCAACTAAATCTGTTGAATTAATCAAAATGCAATCTACACAACTTTTTTTGTGACAAACATACGGCAAAGTATATAAAGAATAGTGTATATTTATTTGTATTGTCAATTTAATAACTAATGAAACCATTTATTTAAGGAAAAATTGCAAATAAATTGGCATATCGACTGATCTAATAAATATAAAAACCAATTAGTTATAATTCCGGCCAAATTGTTGATCATTTGACCAGATCTGAAGTAAAATAAATTAAATTTTGACCGAAACTATAACTCATTCCGTTATCCACAGGCTGTTATGAATATTATGGATTGGCACGGAGAAGTTGTGGTAATACATGACATCACGGCACACCGTTGAATAATGATATATTTCACTCGTAACATTTCTAATTAAAATTTTAATGATGATATAATGAACGCCTGTAGATCCACAAACACAATTAATGACTTAACCCTAACCTTTACCTAATCTTTCGATCTAATTGGATAAAAATCACGAGGGAGGATTTTGTTGTGAGAGAGCTACACACTGCTTGAATGTGTGCCAGGTTCGTGCTGCAACAAAAATTATTAAAGCTCGTTTATGAATTAGAAAGGAGTAGTTTCTACACTAAAATTGCTCAACGAAAACTTTTTGTTAGAGCATTAATGATTTTTGAGAAATAAGCGTTTTTGATAAAATGGATGTTTGTTTTGAATTTTCTTGATCATGTTACATTCCAACTGGTTCAGGAAATCTGCACCACAAACCTGGCACACATTCAAGCAGTGTGAGAACTACTAACTATTATTTAATGTCCGTGGAACAATTTTTGATATCTTTACAGTATTACAACATCATCATAAAAATATCATAAAAATATCAACAATGTTCATGAGCGAACATTAGGGGCCGTGGATATCCAACAGAAATTCGACGATATTTTGAACGGATCCAAGCTCTATTAATGTAAAATAAAAAAATTTCCTAATCTGTATACATGAAATTTTTATTTTTACTATTTTAATTATTCAACTACTACGATTAGAATCAAGAAAATACAACTTTACACGTAGAAAATTAAAAATGCTGTAATTTATTTAATAAAAACTTCTTTAATATACAATTTTAATGTATAATTTTGAAATGGTATTCTATGCATCTCTGGCCAGAGACGCCTAACGATAATATTTTGGGCCCAATATCCAGTTAAAATGGATCAGTCCAACAAAACAAAAACAAACAAGAGCGAAGGTGTAAAAAACGTAAAAAATATATCTACCGCTATTTCGGGGGCACTAATTAAAAAATGTTGGGGAGGCGATTTTATTTATATCACTTGTCTTCGCCCTATGTAACTCTAACTCTAATTAAATTATATGATCAAACATAGTTTTGAGCCAGAGATGTATAAACTAAACATCTTTGGCCAGAGATGCCTTTAAAAATGCTGTCGACTCTGGATATAACGAACCTCTATATAACGAACTCAAAATTTAAAAAATTTTATAATACATAGTTCGGTATAGAAAGTGTGTAATTTTCTATAATGAACGTTTTTTCTTCAGAATCGTCAGTTTGTTATATAAAGAGTGAACTGTAGTACACTTTAGTTATTACTTTTGAAGTGTCTTAGCGTAATAACATTAATTTTTGAAATATAATATATACTATTTCATTTATTTTAATTTTTATTTTCAATTTTAAATCGTATAAATAATATAAGGTTGTTAACCGAACATATTAACATCTTCCTATCAGTTCTAAAGAATTGACAAAATTACGTGTAGAAAATGCATATAATGACGTTATTGAATTTCAGTCATTATCTAATAGTAATATATTAATATAATTACTTCAATAAAATGTAATTAACTGAATCTAATTAACCTCATTATTTAAACACTAATTTAAATTCTATTGTACATGAATTAATTACTGAATTTATTTTCCTCATGGTCTATCATAATAACTCTTTGAACGATAATAATGTATTTTATGAGGAAGAAGAAGCTCGAGAATGGAAACAGCTGCGTTCGCAACAAAGAAATGATGAGTGCGCCACATCTCCTTTTAGAAGAATGCCTGATGAAGTATGGTTGGTAAGTTATAACTAATCATTTTTAAAATCTTTAGCTCTGATTTTTTATTTAAATATTATAATTTCGAGAAATTTTTTTTTTACTTTAGATTCCACCAAATATCGATGTAAAATTAGTTTTGGGTGATAGAAAGATCAATATGTCACGTATTGAGGAGTCAACAAATACACACATGAGTTATAATGATACTGAAGGGGTAAAATAGTTATTTCAAAAACTTTTTTTCTTCGCATCTGATTTTATCTTATCTATATACAGCAAATTGAAATGTGGGGAACGCGTCGTGATCTCGATCAAGCTCTTATGCAATGGAATACGATCGCCATGAATATTCACGACGTAAGTCCTTTAAACTTATTATTTTTTTTTACGTAATAATAATAATTAGTTCATAAAATTCATAACATTTTTTCGTAACATTTTTTCATATCATTTTTTCATATCATTTTTTGTACCATTTTTTCATAATATTTTTCGTAACCTTTTTCCGTACAATTTTTTCATACCATTTTTTTCAAGGATCAAATTAAATCCAGGAGTGCAAGAAAAGTTAAAGGTTGGGCTAGACCAGAAAAAGCCCTTACAGAAAAACAAGTTAAAAAATTACAACGTAGAGAAGCAAGAGAAAAAGAAGGACAAGATCTTAAATGTTTTCCTAAGATCGACCTTCCCTTTTCTTCTCATTTTTATTTTCCAGATCACGAAATTCCAATTTCACGAATCATTGGTGAAAAAGATGAATTTTTGGATCCAATTCGTGTTCAAACCAAATGTTACATGTGGTATGAACCACAAAATCACGTAAGATAAATATAATAAAAAAAAATTTTAAATTGAAAAGTCCTATTTATTTCTAAGATTTGTTTTTTTTTGTTCAAGATGGTTAGAGTTATTGGTGATAATGAGGATAGCGTTTATGAAGCAATTTCACGCGTTAAAAATCTTTACCTTAAAGTTTTCTTTGTAAAGACAATAAGCATTTATTAGTAATTATTGTCTTTTTATAAACAAGTAGTAAAAATTTTGCTTATATTTTTTCATAGGCTCGTAGCATTCCAATAAAGAGAGGCTGGGTTTATCATATGATTGAACAACCTCGAATGCCTTACAAAGTTAAAATTACAGATCCGCCTAGTTGGCTCATACCACCTTATGATATAGTTGGTTTTTTTAAAGTTTTCGAACCTGTTATTGAAGAGCAATCCGCTACTAGTACAAATACTGAAATTTTTGAGTCAGCATTTAACGCCAAGTTTATTGCAATCCATTGTTATGTCACAGCAAACATTTTTTAATTAACAAATTGCTGTGAAATTTTAGTGTTCACACAGAAAACCTCAAAAGAATTGAAGAAGCTCTATTGAGAACTTTACAAACTGTTTATTTGTTCGACGAAGAAATAAAACTGCGCGTTAGGTAAATAATCTCATTACAAATGATTTTTACATGATCTTATTTATTTCTTATTTATTTATAATAACATATTTGACAAATTCAGATTTGGTCAAATATGCCTTACTTATTTTCCTAAAGATATGTCATTATGGTCAATCGATAGATTGAATAACTTAGTCTTGAAAGATACTCGTTTGCAATCAAAGTTTGCTACATGGTGTGATTTCTAAAAAATTTTTATTTTTTTTTATTTTACGTTTAACTCAATTAACTTTATGTTAATAGTCTTGCAACAGATTTTAATCAACTCAAAAAATTAGAAGAATATTTTTCTAGTAATCAAGTATGGGATGGGTCATGCTCTCATGAATTCAAGATTCGTGCATTACGTCGTCCCGTTAGATTTGATGAACAAAGATGGGCATGCACGTTTGACGTATCGTTTAGGAACGGCAAAATAGGATTATGGAATGCGGTTGCTGATGAAAAAAACGTATTGGAGATTAACATGGCTTGTTTGGACTAGTGAGTAAAATTTTATTATAGTATAAAATTTCCATAAACATTATATTTATATATGTATATTTGCTTTTAGTGGAAGTTCTTGGAGACTTTCTCTAAAAACAGCCAAAAGACTTAGTATCGACAAATTTGGCCCACAAGGATTATTCGTTTACAAATTACGATTAAGGTACTATCATTTACAAAAAAATTTAAATTATTATGTATATATATTTTACTAATATCTAATAATAGTCCACAAAATCATTGATTTATACAAATACTGAAGATGTTATTGATACCTCAGTTTGTGAAAAGCATAAAGAGAAATTTTTATGGAAAGAGCATTTTATAATTGAGATTACAAGATATGAATATTGGAACTGTGAAGGAAAATTTTTAAACGTTTCACCTGGAGTGGAAATTCCTTTACAACGTGAACCATCGGAAAATGTGTCATTTGGAGTTACGGTAAATTATTTGATTTATTAGCAGTGGTTTTTTTTTTTACTGATCTATATTCGGTACATGTTTATTTAGTTATATAAGAAATCATGGGATGATGATTTCTCTGCAAACGGCAATTTAAATTCAGGTGAAGTGCCTGAATGGTATCCTGATGATATGTCGAATGGCGTTAAGCAAATGTTGAGTGATATAAATGAATTCTTGAAAATTTTGCAAGATTCCAATGTTATTAAACCAAATATATTAAACTATGAGTCTTTAAATTAGTTATCAAATGTTATGCATAACATATACGCAAACAATGCTTTCAATTGCTAAGTCTAGCATTTTTTGTAATGCAAGTATAATAGGATTATTTCTTGTATTATGAATTTTTTCAATAAACTAGTAATGCTATTAAAAACATACCTATTTTGTGAATCGGTGCAATGAATTGTTATTAACATCCTAACTTTGTATTGGAGCGAAACTTTAGAAAAAGAAAATCTCTCCAAATACTTGGCTACAATCATATCTCTTCGTAATCACCTCTCATATAATATCATCACATAAAAACGTTTTTATAATCATATCTCTATTTGAGCCCAAATATTATTTAATATACCGTATATTACCGATTAAAAGCGACCACCAGATTTTGGAACCAAAAATTTGACTACGGTTATTATGTTCTACTAATAAAATTATACTCGAATAAAGAAACCCTTCATTTTGGCTCAAAAAAATTCCCATTTTTTTGCAACATTTTGGTTGCATCTATTCGGTAACATACGGTACATAAAAAACCTTTACATAAACACGCCTCTTTATAAGTACATTTTTTTTAAAAAAAGTTGCTATGGTCCCAATTGTGTGATTATAAAGAGGTATGACTGTATTTTTTCGACATACAGAATTGTTATAGCAGATAGGTACATACGTCACCTAAAGTCATCGACCAAATTTTAAAGATATCTAATTCCCAAGTTTAATATATAACCCGCAAAAATGATAAATTTAATGATTTTCTTTAAGATTTGCCGTTTAATTTTTTGATTTATTTTATTTTATTTTATTGACATTAAAGTTTAAAGTTATAAATCTTGGACTAATTATAAAATTTCTTGGCAGTCAACCAATAAAAAACATCAAAAAATTTTTTTTCGATGAGGTAACGTGAACCATAGAGTAAAGTTTAATTATTAGATCTTATAATTTACATTTAAATTTAAAATAGAATTAAAATTTATATTAAAATTACATTTATTTCTTAATCTGTATTTCAGAAAATTTGCTTGAAAAATCAAATTATATTTATATATTTTTTAAGTTATAAGTATAGATATTAGTGAAATTAACTTATGCTGGTTACTATATTAAATTTTACTAATTTTATCAGTATTATTATCATTTACCACGAATTTTATCAGTTTCATCAGCATCTATAATTATGAAGTATGTTTTATTTATAAAATATTTTATTAAAAACATATCTTATAAACTTTATTAATAAAATTATTAAAATGTGATAACTTAGTGAAATGGTGAAGTTGTCCTCCTCAAGTGACAAATCAAGAGTTTGAATCTTATTGATGATAAAATTTGAATAATTATTTTATCATAATAATTGTTTTTTATTAATTAGTTTGATTAAAATATTTGTAGTTTGATTATATTAACAAAATTTAAAAATTCTAAAGTATCTGTGATCAGTGTAACAAAAATATTATACAAAAAAATACAAATTGGTACTAGTATTGTAAATTCAAATTAAGTTTCTGTAATTACATAGATCTAAAAAATCAAAAAGACAAAAACTATTTGATAAGATCTAAATAAAAAAAATAATACCCATTTTTTTTCTATTTTTGATAATACTATTGTAAAAGCTAAGTTTAAAAAACAGATATCTAACAGATGAATTAAACAAGATATGATTTATAAAAGCAAACAAATCTACTAACTAAATCATCAGAGTTTAGATCAAAGGAAAAGATATGTAAGTTATATTTAATATACTAGAAATAGATCACAATTTCATAGATTATTTAGATTAAAAATTTGATAAAACAAACTAAATATAATATACTAAAATACAAGAAATATGCTATAAAGTAGGTATTAAGATAATATGAATTCTACAAGAATAAAGTAGAGAAAGTAATATAATTACCTATAAGAGTTTGCAATCTGGGTTCATACTTATGTTTAACAAAAAATCTAAGCATAAGCATAAACATAAAAACTCAAACATAGACATAGGTACAAGCACAAAAAACTTGGCATAGGCATGGGTACAGTCACTGGCACTTTGTCTAGCATTTGTGCTTGGCATCTTATACCCTGTCGTCTTAAAAATATAGTTTAAATACACTCCGTTACTCAACGCTCTTTTGAAATTATACTTGCTTGCGCGTTATTTGAATACTATTTTGAGTATGCACATGTATGTGTTGTAAGTCTCGCCATATGGAAATCGATTCCATATAGTGAAAATACACTGAATATATAACTTCTATTTTACGTTACTCATAGACTCTATATTTTACGTTGCTATACTTTTATATATGTTTAATAACTTTCACCAACCTAGTTATACAATTTTATTTGTACAGTCAATGCTCAAGACAACGAATTTTTGCATAAAAAATTTTGGCATCTGAACATATAAATTTGTCTTCTAATAACTGAATATTTCTATATAGCGAAGGCATAAGGTCAGAATGCGGACTTCGCTATATCGAGATTAACTGTTGTAGAATTTATACATTTTTGCTTATTTGAAATACTTCATAATCATCTATTGGAAAAATACTATTTACATTTCTGATTGGCGAGTGATAAACATTTTCGAAATCCTTATTATAAGTACATGCCTTAAGGCCATGGGGATCATAAAATCCAAAAGAATAAAACCATGGACCATATTCTAGACCATAATAAATTGCTTTTGGATGATTTTTTACACGACTAAGAATAGATTCTTTCATATTCTCATTTTTTAAAGAAAAAATAAAGCTACCAGGTGCTGCGGTATATCCTCTATTTGTAGGTGTCCAGCAAAGAGAATTATATCCACCAAGTATTTCATTTGAATTTTCAACCTTTATAACAACTATTAGGCCAGATATATTGTCACATAATTCATGAAATTTTTTGG